GGTTCGATCCCTGGTCAGGGAACTAAGATCCCACATGTCGCCTGGTGCGGCCAAAAATAAAATTAAAAAAAAAAATAGAAAGGTCAACATGATAAACTTTATGTTATGGGTATTTTACTACAATTTAAAAAAATTATCTTTAAAAAAAGAAGAATAAATAAATATATTTTCAGATATTATATCAGATTATCACTAACAGATTCTCACTAAACTAAAGGAACACTAAAGGATGTAATTCAGAGAGAAGAAAAAAGATTACAGAAAGAAGGCCTTAAATGAAAGAGGGATGGAGGTAAGCATACAAATCGGTTAAAATGTAGAGAAATCTAAATGAAAAAGGACTGGCTGTCAATTCTCTGCTTGTGAGACATCTTTTTTTTTTCCTATGAAGTGGACCTGCTGACACCAGCTTCTTGGGTGTGAACACAAAGACTTCTACCCCAAATCAGGCATGCCTTCAAAGGAGGAAGGGATCCCAATTCTTATCACTTTCTGAGGGCAGTTATGGTTTCATCCAATCAAAACTCATTTGCAGTAGGTTTCTGGACAATTATTTTACTGTTCTTAGAAGCAAAGTTAAAAAAATCAAATTGGTAATGCTTGTAAAAAGCTTTCTCAAGGGAACTTTGTAAATATTAATATTCTATTTGTTGCACTTATGAAAAACTGATCATACAAATATATATACATGTATGTGTGTATATATATTACTATATATAACACATGGTATGCAAATTAATAAAACACCCATAAATCCATGATCCAGCTTAAGAACATTATAAATACTTTAGGAGCCTTCTATGCTCACCCTCACTAATTTTATGCCTCTCCAACTCTGAACAATTGAGCATTTACCATGGCCTTGGTTTTGTCACTTTTAACACATATGTATGCATTCCCAATCTTTTTTTTTTTTTTTGAGAGAACATAGGGGCAGAATTATAACTTTTTGACTAATCTTTATATTCTTAATGTCCTAAACCTATAATTATTCCTATCTTATAGAAACAACTCAATGCTGATTTGGGAAAAAATTCTGAAGCAAGTTTCCTTCTTTTATTTTCATCTGGATCAATGTCTCCAATATCTTTCCAACAATTTGGTCCACTTCACCTCTCTTTCATTCATCAGGTTCAATTACTTCTACATCTACTCTTGGTGTCTGTCACCGTCTTATATCTAAATTTTGTTTCAGATTTGGAACATCTCTGTAACCTTCTAGTTGTATCCTTGTCTATAATTTCTCACTTATCTAACTATCAGGTTGATAATGTGATTTATCTTCAAAAGAGTTTGAATGACCTATACCCATCTGTAAAAGTCTTCAGCAGCTTTCCACTGTCTTGAGGGAAAAAAACTAAAACAAAACAAAAAACAAAACCAGCTCCTCTGGTATAAGACCCTCTGTGATCTGCCATGATATGAACCTTCTAGTTTACTCTTTTACAAGATCTATCTGCCCCTCACTGCTTGCTCCCCTGTATGTATGTATGTCCAGATCTTTGTGCCTACTGATAGCTTAACCAGATTGATCTTGCTACAGTTTCCTCCAGAACCCTCATTTCACCACCTCCTCCTAAGTGGGAAATTTAGTAATCCCATGTAAGAACTCAGTACTCCTTGTGCTAATTTTGTAAGAAGTGGCTTACACCTTATTAACCTCCTTATTTCATTGAGTCTTATACTTTAGTTAGATGTTTACAATTCACTCTCACCAGATATAAAGCTCTTTGAGGTTATAGATTGTCTTAGTGAAATAATTGCTATCTCCCCACCCATTCAACATCCCAGATACAAAATCCAGAATATGGTGTGAGAAAAAAAAAAAAAAAGCCCATGGAGTAAACTAAAATAGCATTTCTATCTTTCTAACTAAAAGATAAAGAATATATGTGGGAAGTATTGCTCATTTAGCACCCATTGCTATAGATACACAGTTCTCAATGGAATGGCATTTATAGGTATCATTTTCGCCTTTCTGTCTTTCTTTTCTTTACTCTCCTCTTTTTTAAATCACAGATGTTGACATTCTTCCACCAAAAGGCTTCCTGGGTGAAAATGAAAGTTGAAAATTCTATTCAGTAATAGGCAAAACAACAGATGTTCCCTGTCTAAACTTTCTACTTTAATTCAAGGACCGTTTCCAAAATCTAGATCTCACTGATTTGGGGCCCGATGCTTTTTTTTTTTTTTTGGTGGTTTCACCTTAGACTTGGGCTGAGGAAAATATGAAGAGTGTCTCAAGAAAAATTCCAGTAGATGGAAGACAATGAAGTGAGAAAATACAGAGGCCAACAGTATAAGAAGTAAGAGAAAGGCCAAAGAGTCATTTACAAGGAATCTAAAAGATGAAAGCATAAAATAAAGTACAATTACTGGCAGGATTTAAGATACTTTGATGCATTTAGAAACTGAACTGTCAAAAGTTCATCTCAAGTTTCTCTTTTTTTTTTTTTTTTTTTTTTTGCGGTGCGCAGGCCTCTCACTGTTGTGGCCTCTCCCGTTGCGGAGCACAGGCTCCGGACGCACAGGCTCAGCGGCCATGGCTCACAGGCCCAGCCGCTCCGCGGCATGTGGGATCTTCCCAAACCGAGGCACGAACCCGTGTCCCCTGCATTGGCAGGCGGACCCTCAACCACTGTGCCACCAGGGAAGCCTGTCAAGTTTCTCTTTTAATGGAAGGACATATCAGTCCCTAACAAGGTTTCACTTTGGAAGAAAGGGAAAAGCAACGTCATTTAACTTGTGGGGCAGCCAGAAACTGAGTTGTCCTTGAAAATGTCTATTCCTCAACTTTCATATTCAGTTATTTCATATATTTACTCATTGATACCTCAATGATTTTTCCACATTTCACTATCTCTATTGTTTCCACCCTTGTCCAGGCTTCCATCACCTCTTACTAAAACCAATATAGCAGCCTTGTTTCCCAGAGTCTACTGCTCATCCTACCCCCCAACCCAGACCTTTTCAATTTTCCACTAAACATAATATCTATATATTTTTTATGTTTTGTTTTTGTGGCTGCTAGGCATGTGGGATCTTAGCTCCCTGACCAGGGATCGAACATGCAGCCCCTGCATTGGAAGGCAAAGTCTTAACCACTGGACTGCCAGGGAAGTCCCTACACATAATATCTAGAGTGATCTTTTCCAAAGCAAAGATAATCATGTAGTTGTACTCTCCTTAAAACATTTCCTAAGTTTCCATTATTTTTAGTATTAACATAAAAATCAACGAGTTATCCTATAAAGGCTGGCATGATTTGGTTCCTGTTTTTTTAGCTCCATCAGCTCGTATAACACCCTCTTGTTCTGTACTTCATACTATTCAGTCTATACTGACCCTTCTTCAATTTCTTATCATATAGAACATATTCTAATACTTTTCAAAATGCCTGAATTAATAATTATTGATCCTAATGAGTACATCTATTATTAGTGAGAAAATATTATTGCTCAATTTTTGGTTAATAATTGTAAACAGAGTCTGCTAAATGGAGATAAGTCTGTGATTTTTCTCAAAGATAAACTCACCAAATTACTACTAGTTATCAATTTACAATTAGAGACAGAAAATCTTTCCCCAATTTTTTTTGAGATAGACCATGTTTTACTTTATACAATTCATAGAGCCTTTGGAAAGTATTTCACATTCACGATAAAGTATGTGAACAATTTTCTATTAGATTTTTATGAATTTCTTGTGAGAGGACCACCAAACTGACTGTCAGTCTTGGGAGTACCTTATGTGCTTTAACTGTTCTCTCAAGATTTTTCATGATCATTAACCAGGTAGTCTTTTCAAATCTAGTCTAACAATAATTATTTTTTCCCTTGCTCCTGTAAAAAAAATCCTGCACAAAAAGGAAATCTTTGCATTAGCTTTTTTAGAAAGGCTCTTCTCTTAGGGAAAGTTTGTAATTCAATATTTAAACAAGCTTATAACCAATTTATTCAAGTTGCATTAACAGTACTAACCTGAGATGGGTAAAGAGCTAGCATACATACAAGAGCACCTGAGTGCTCAAATACTTTCAGATCTACTAATGGTACTCAAGCCAGTGGAAACTCTTGAAAAACACTGTAAATTTAAAATCTGCACTTCTTATTGCTTTCATTAAGAAGTTGATCATTGCTCAAATAAGGTCTGATTTTAAATTGTCAGTATGCTTCAAGGCAGAGGAGTTTGATATATCTATATGGATCACTGATCATGCCTTCCTCCATCCTCCTTCAAATCACTCTATCATGCCTAGGGGGCATGAAACTGAAGAAAAACTGTGTCTTCTTTGATTTTGCAGTCATGGCAAACAGCAGGTGCTCAACTAAGATTCACTCACTAAAACGATAACTGACCCAGAGATCACATTATACCAAAATTTAAGCAAAAATGAAGATAATTCAATGCTAAATATTTAGAATTCAGCCACTGCATTTATATGTATGTTTCATTTCGGCTATATTTTCTACTTTGGGAAACGTTTTTTTTTTTTTTTGGTTAATGTTAATCAATAGCATTACTGAAAACCTGTCATTCAACCTGCTGGGTCAGGAGGTGGATAGGAACAGGTTTTCTCTCTTATTTGTTTAGTCTAGTTCTGTAAAAATACATGCAAAAGAAAGTTGATAACAAGCTTGAACCAGAGGGGGAAACAAGTCTTTACCAATATCCTATATTTTCTCTAGGCAAATACAACTTTTCCCGCATCAGCAAAAAGGAGTCTTCAAATCTGTTTATTTAGAAATCTGCAAATTATCTGTTCTGAAATTTTTTCTTCTTGTGAAACTAAATTTCTAGTTATCAGACTACTATGTGCAACATAATTATAGCATTCTACAATTGTTAGGATATAGCATATTATTAAATCTCTGAATAATCAATTCCAACTCTCAATTAACAACATAGAATTGGATAATAGAAAAAGAATACAAAAGAGATGCAATTATTACAAACTGAATAACAAACATTTTTAAAGATGTAAAGTGAAAATCTTTTACCTCTAGAAATAACAGTTTCTAATCCAGTTCCATTAATAAAAGCCCGCTTAATGGTTTGTGTCTTAATGTCTGTCCAGTATAAACGTTCTTCAGATGCATCGAAGTCTATCACAGTAACATCATCAATATCAGGGACTGTAAAGGCCGTGATAAAGTTAAAATATGGATTATCAATATCCACTCCTCTGATTTCAGAACGTCTTGCATAAAGAAGAAATTTTTTCATTTCTAGAAAAGAAACAGAAATGTGTTTTTCTTTATAAGCTTGGCAAGTTTGAAGCTATCTAGAAATTCTAAATATTATTTGTTGATGATTTAATAGGTTTTTAACACCAGAAAATCATGACCAAGATTTGATAGAAACATGAAGGCAGAAATGATTTATCTATTTTTAAATGAAAGTACTTAATAATAACAAATGTAAAGCAAGTTAGAATCCTTAAGTCATTTTTCTTTAGTTAGAAATGCCAAGAAATTATCAGTACTTGATCTGATCTTAGAATTTCAAACAAACTTGTTAAAGGACATGAACTCTAAAAATGTCAAACGGCCATATTTGTTCTTTGTTTATAACTATAACAATATTGCAGTGCATTAAGTGCTTTTTGAAGGAATCTAAGAACATTTTTTCTATACTATCTTTGAATAAAATGAGATTAAACATTGCTTTTAAAAATCATGTTTATATTTTCCCTATCAAAATTAGGGTTCATATAATGTTAAAGCATGCTGTACTGTAAATTGTTGTGAATCTGTAGTAATTAATATTGTGAGGCATTCTATCATTTCTACTTGAATAGGCACCTTTCTTGCAATGAGTTTGTGAAATATTAGTAGATTTAATAGAAATAGGAGTCACAGATGTTCTATTTTCTTGTTTTTCTCTTTGGGGTTATTGTTGATATTTGAGATATGGTATTATTGTATAAAATTAAGTAAAGCCACATGTGCCTAAATTCCTGAGTTAAGATTTGATGAATACACTCTTTTTTGCCCTTAGAAGTAAGTGCTTTGCAAATAAACAAAAATTACTAACAAAACAAAACTAAAAAAAACCCACAGTCTGATTATTTTTTGAGAAGTTATTTGAGAAGTTCTAATTTCCAAGGCATGGTAGCAACATCAAAAATACATTTGACTTAATAAGAGAGCAACCATTTATTTAACATCAACAAATATTAACTGAATGTTTCCTATATGCCAATCAAAATTACAGGTCCTCGGAAAACAGAAGTAAATGAGATAAATGAGGGCCTTCTCATGTAGTAGTTTACATTCTAAGAGGGACAAACAATAAATAGAGAACAGAAACAAGAAATATCAAAAACAAGAATACCAGAAACAAGAAAATATCAGTAGGAGAGCTACGGTAAATTAGGTCATCAGGGAAGCCCTCCACAAAGGTGACGAATAGCAAAAAGGAGCCTACAATTAGAAAATCTAAGAGAGGAGTGTTTTTAAAAGAGGGAACAGCTAGCCCAAAGTCCAGAGCAAACTTGGTATATTCAAGAATGTAGAATATATGTATGAGGTATGTAAATTAGATCTCTATCTGTAATTACACATGACATTATTTTATATCAAAAACCTTATGTAGAGTTCAAGGTACCTTCACTTTTTTTGAATTCACCTCTAAATTGTGTAGAGTTAAAGCACAGTTCCCAACATATCTTATTATCAACCACCAACTTTTATTAAGTGTCCTTTTTTTTTTTTACATCTTTATTGGAGTATAATTGCTTTACAATGGTGTGTTAGTTTCTGCTTTAAAACAAAGTGAATCAGCTATACATATACATATAGAGTGAAGTAAGTCAGAAAGAGAAAAACAAATACCATAGGCTAACACATATATATGGAATCTAAAAAAAAAATAAATGGTTCTGAAGAACCCACAGTCTGGTTTTCATTCACAAATTTTATTTTCATTTTTTAGTTTAAATATGCTGTTTAAGTATTTTTTACAAACCTTTCCAAGTTACATATTTTACTTCATATTTTCTCCCTTCAACTTGATAATACCCTATAAAATGATGCTAAAGTAACTGCAGAAGAGCAGGAGGAGATTAAAGCTGTTAAGTACCTCTTTATTATGCAGGTTACCTACATCATCATTTTCTGATAATGCACTTTCACTTACAAATCTCCCTGTTTTGTAGAGATAAATTCTGCTAACACACCGAATAAGAAAGTAGCAAGAAAAAAAGTGAATAAGGTAATAAACAGCAAAGTGCAGCATATCACATATTTAAAGAATTCGTCAGTCTCCCCAAAAGTAGATGAGTCAACAGAGTCTGAAAATAGCACCACATCTAATATTTTTAAGGACATTAAAAACCTCTTCCGCTTTACTTTGAGGAAAATCTGAATGCTAATACAATTTGAGAGAATTCAATTTGGAGTTTAGATAAGAACTGTAAGAAATTTACCATAGCAGGTCTTCTTGTTTGAGGAAAGCTTCATCAAGTGTGGGCAAGCACAAGCAGCACTCCTATTATGATTGATCAGACACATATGAGAGCAGGGGCCTCTGCCATCATTAGCTGCACACGGATTGGGAGCTGTAATTACACAGTGAAATATTAAGAGTAAAGAAGGAAGACTAGATTAGGGAACCTCTGAGTTTGACAAGGGTTATTCACGTAATGATTCAAAGTGAAGTTCCCTACATAGCACCCATTACTCGAGTGATTAATATGACAATAAGAGACAATCATACACAACAATTTCATGAATAAAAACATTTTTCCTCCTTGAAGATAACAACTAAGATAACTCCCTCAATTTCCTCTAAGAGGAATGGTATGCATTCTATTGCTTTAGAAGCAAAAAAATGTTTTTAAGGATTTAGTCTGAGAAATAATCAGGAATAATTATCACATTTAGTATAAACTAAACTCAGGTAGACTATCATGCCAGTGTTGGGAGTTCCAGTGGATGTCGTTATTTTCCTACCATAGCATATAGATTCCCTTCTTGCCTTAGCACGACATTCTGAACAGTTTCCATAGGAAACTGCTGTTACATATACTGTATAACCCTTCAGGCCATTTCTTCTTTTTCAAATCAGAGGCCTATGTGAAAAACATGTTTGTCTTCCTTCATTATAATGACATCTACTTCTTTTTTTTTTTCTGTATTAACTTATTCCATGGCTAAAGTTTGCTCCACATACTCATACTTACTATATTCCATTGTATAAATAACATGATATATTCAAATTTAGAATGGAATATTAAATTTTGCAGTTCAATGTCATTCTCTCATTCTTTTGTGTTTCTTATTTTGTCATCATGCCTTTTGGATAAGATTTTAATGTCAATTGATCAAATTGTTCTTTCAAATCTCATTTTTATAGAGACTATCTAGTAGAATAAATTCTTTAGAACTATGTTTGTCAGTTGAAGGCATGAAAGAGTTATACCTTCTGATCCCACCAGCAATATTTTAGTTTTCAACTAAAATCTTCCTAACAAATGGATCTATTGCTCAGTGTAATAATATTAGTCTTGTAGACTTATAAAGCACAAATAATAAAAATCAATAGATTATAATAAAAATTGTAGAAAAATTAACTGAATTTAATAAATACTCAACGTGGCTTTTGCCAGTCTTCACACCCTCCCCACAAGATAACAAAAACAATTCATGTCTGTGTATTTGATTTAAAAAGTAAATAAAAGGAAATGATGGGCTTCCCTGGTAGCGCAGTGGTTGAGAGTCTGCCTGCCGATGCAGGGGACACGGGTTCGTGCCCCGGTCCAGGAAGATCCCACATGCCGCGGAGCGGCTGGGCCCGTGAGCCATGGCCGCTGAGCCTGCGTGTCTGGAGCCTGTGCTCCACAACGGGAGAGGCCACAACAGTGAGAGGCCCGCGTACCGCAAAAAAAAATAAAATAAAATAAAAATTTAAAAATAAATAAATAAATAAATGGAAGTGAAAGACTCAGAAACATTTTCCGAAGCACATCAGTTAAGAACAAAAATTATTAGAAAATACTGGAAGCTAAATTTGAGAGATTCTGTAGGAGTGCATGTCCCTTTGTCACATGGTATAAAATGCCACATATTCTACTTTCTTCCCGTTTAACTTCATCTATCATAATTGGAGTCTCTAAAGAACTGCAGGTTAGAGAAGCAAGAGGTTAGATGGGAAGGTTTTTAAGGAGGAAAAATGTTACAGAAAAGGTGGTGAAATGAAGAGGCACTGTTGGAAGAAGGAGAAAAACAGAAAAATTAAGAGGAGTAAAGGGAGGAAAAGGAAGAAGGAAGAGGAGAAATTTGTTTAAAAACATTGACATAGGAAATGCTATTCCTTTCAAAGAATTAAAAGCCTAATCCATGACAGCTCAATAATAGGTACTTGGATTTCGCTTTGAACATCATTATCTTTAGCCCAGAAGCATACTAGCTCTTCTCAACATCCTGTAATTGTGATTAAAAACTTTTAAAAATCAATGATGACATACTAAATTTCTATATTCATACTAAAGTAAAAAATACATTGACTTTGTAGCCCAATATCTGTATTAATGATAACACTGTAAGGTAATATTCACAATATTTTATGCTTCACAGCATGGAAAAAATCCACAAAAACTTCTTTCACTTTTTATCTCTTCTCACTTTGAAAGAGTGGTGTTAAATCTTTTTGAAGTTTCTTTCTAATCATGCATTAAAACAGATACCTATTCTAATTACCAAATTAAGGAATTTGGTTCACATACTCACATTTTAATATAAAGCAGGGATTAGCAAATGTGGATCCTGGAGCCATATCTGGTTCACTGCCTATTTTTGTAAATAAAGTTTTATTGGAATATAGCCATGCTCATTAGTTTACATATTATCTAGGCTGCTTTCACACTACAATAGCAGAGTTGAGCAGTTTCAGCATAGACCACTTGGCCTACAAAACCCTAAAATATTTATTTTCTGGCTCTTTACAGAAAAGGTTTGCCAACACCTGATATAAAGTAATTAACTATTTTATGAGAAATACTATTGCAAAGTCCAATATCAATACAGAGGTTGTAAACTCCTATCAAACCAAGGCTATCCCATTTATTGTATCTAGGAGATGGGAAAAGGGATGAGCAGTCGATGGAATGCTATAAGCAATCTTAACAGATGAAATTCATATATAGGTGTGCAGACCGGGTTTACTGATTGTTCATATTATCAAAACTCAAGGTGACCAAAAAAAGAACCTCAGATACATGTAACACCCCTCATATCTATGCATTGAATACATATTTAGGAAGCACCTCAGTGTTCTGCTTAGTTTTAAAAAGCTGGATATCATAGTAGACAAGACATAGTTCTTGCACCAAAGAATTTAAGAATCCGTACTCTAAACCCATACACCATTCTCTCTAATTCTATGGTGACTGGCTCAATTTAGGTTCTCTCCATCTCTTGCTTGGATTGCTGCTCTAACTTCCTAAAAAATCTCTTGATTTTCAGTCTCTTCCCATTGCCTACAGTTCTTTTTCTAAAAAAAGACTTGATCATATAGCTGCCTTGCTTAAAAATCTTGGATAGCTTCTCACTAGCTACCTCACAAAGTCTCAAATCTTATCTGCTACCACTTCCCACAAGATTACTTAGCACTAGCCACACTGGCTTACTTGCTGCTCTTTTTCCTTTCAGCTTATTTTTTTTTAAATCCTGATCCACTGTTTCTTATTATTAAAGATGTCATGTCTTCTAAACTCACAAAATTTTAACTTCAAAGCATTTTTTACTTCTCGGATTTTTAACTTCTCTTTCACTACCATATTTAATAAGTTGTCAAGTATTATCAGACTTCTCCTATTACATGCTCCTTTCTTTCCATTTTTCTCTCTCCTCTTCCAACATAAAGTTTTAGTTCATCACTTTTGAGTAACCACTACAACCATGTAACTGGTATTCTATGGTACTGCCAAAAATATAACAATCTCTCTTTCTAAGATACCATCTTATCTTCTAGCCTCATCTATCACTTTCCTTCTACATACACATTATGCACATGCTAAAAAGAACGCCTTATTGTTCTCTGAATATCTGTAGCTTGTCCTTTTCCACTTTCACATAAGGTACTTTTCTTTCTGTAGAATTTCATTATCCTTCCTTCATGAATCAGCTCAAGTCATTTTTCTTTCACAAAACATTTTCTTCATTTCTAATGAAGCCACCTAATGCTGATTTATTCCATCACTAAATATTAGTTTTAATTATTACTATACAAGGCATTAGGCATTTATTGTTTACTGTCTTATTTTCTAATTGTCTGTGACATATATTCATATGTTTTATATCAGTATACTGTGGTCTCTCTAGGTAAATCAGGGGTAGGCAAGTTTTTTTTTCTGTAAAAGGCCAGATAGTAAATATTTTCACCTTTGCAGCCCTTATGCTCTTCCTAGTAATTATTCAATTTTGCTATTGCGCAAAAAGCAGCCATGAAACGATATGTGAATCAACAGGTACAGCTACGTTTAAATAAAATTTTATTTGCAAAACTGGCAGAAGGCTGAAGTTAGCCTGAGGGCCTTAGTTTGTCAAATTCTGAGCCTTAGTTTGTCAAATTCTATGCTGGCAGGAACTATGACTTATCAACATACATATCGTTTTTCCCTAAAATTTCTATGGTATCTATTATTGTGTTAGACTTAAAGATATTTGGATTCATATGCATACTCATCAATGTATGTGTGTACATGTTCTAAAAAGGCAACAATCTAAAATTTCAAAAGTAAATTAAACTTCTAAAGCACTTCATACCTGTAGGTGAAGAGACTAAATAATGCAAAACTACAATACTTTACTGGAGAACCAAATGTTAATTATGCAATCATACAAGACTGATGTATGCTCTGAGAAGAAAACAATATCATTAAAGATAATTTCATATTTCATGCATCCTATGTTTAATTGCAGTCCGCTTTTCATCAGCAAAAAATAAACACTTTAAACCCAATTATTTTATCCAGTAAGATCAAATAAAATATATGTGTTGATGCAATATAAAATATGTACAATATTTATTTACCTCATAAAACTAAGCTCAAAGCAGAAAAATGTCAGGGTCCAATGTGTTAGATAAGAGGAATATTGTGTAGTCATTTTTGATAGTAACTAATATTCATCCTGTAAATGAACTTTATTGGTACAAAAACAATTACTAACATAAGAAAACAATGTATCTATAATTTTCCTTTTAGAAAAGAATATGTTGAAGTGAAGTTTCAGAAGGATCTTACAATTAAACACTAATCCCTAATCCTATTTTCCCTTTGACAAATATCTTGAAATTGTAATTTTAATATTTGACATTGAAGAACTAGAGTGAATTCCTTATTTAAAACACACACATATAACAAAATGTGTGCAAGTACAAGACATTCTTATTGCTTTAGTTTCACCAGTTTCCAGCAATACTGGGTATGCAGGAGTTACTTTCATCAAATTATATTTTACAGATTAATTTTATACTGTATTCTATTTTTATGAAGTAGAAAAAAAATCTAAAAATCTTATATGATCTTCCATAGATACCTGTATTTCAGAGAAAATT